CAATTGATTAACATTTTGAAATTTTAAAAAAGTCTGTATTTCAAACAAGGAAGACAACAAAATGCCACCTCTTCTGCAACAGAGGACATTAGCTAAAGCTGAAGGCATGACAAAGTGTAGAACAAATTGCTACCAAAATCTCAGCTCTGACCAGCCAACAGTTGGTCATTTGATCTGCAGTGAGCAGAAGACAGGTTTCAGGCTGCACTCAAGGGAAAACAGGAAGAGGAGGTACAATATTTTATTCACTAGGTTTGTAATTCACTGTAGGAAATAAGGTGCTTACATTCACATTTTTCTTTTCTTCTCTCAAGCAAAACACCAATTTTTGTTTATTTTTGGTTTTACATTTTCTTTAAAGCTGTCTCTCCAGATTCAAAGCAGATAGCTTCATTCTGACCTTAACTCTGTTACTAGTCTAGCTTTAATACATAGTATTTCAGTCCCAACAGTGAAATTATATTAAGATGATTAATTTCTAAGCAACAGGAATAGGAAAATCTGAAAAAAGTTTCTCAAACATGAAAACCAGATTTACTTCTATCAGCATAAAATCGGGATTCATATACATCCAGCTCTCAGTAGACCCAAAAAGATAGGCACTGAACTATTATAGTGTTTAGCAAATTAAGACTCAAGTTCTGGACGCTGTTGCTTTGAAACGAATTGTGTGTGTTCCACTAAAATCCATTATATTGTCTAATAAGCAAGCACCTTCTTAAGGACTGCTTAGAGCAATAATTCTTCATAGTCTAAAAATTAAAACACAGAAATTGCTCATGAAACGTTATCTGGTTGTTGAAAAACTACAGCGAGTGCTGATAAGAAAGCATTATAGTACTTACCGTACCGAAAGCTCACAAAAATCTGTTCAGTACACAAGTACCAAAGGGAGATGGAACTAATCATGAAAGTTCATTTCTAATAACAAAAAGGCTATAAACAAACTGTAAAGAAAAATAACTTATGAGTATTTGATACCAAGGATATTTTGTACAGAGGTTATGCTGCTGCTGTATGAGGCCTAGAAGAACTCATAACTGCTAATTCAATTCAGTACATATATTTCTCCTGTTTACAGTCCTCTAGTTGGAGGCTTATTACTTACTCTGTATTTGCAGGTTCTCTTTTGACCCAAAACTTGCTTAAAAATGGAACCTTGAAATAATTTTAATTTATTTTTATGACACCTCATTTTGTCCAAAAGAGATTTAAAAAACCCCAAAACACCTATTGTATTGTGGCTTTATTAGCGATTTTTTTTTCTATGTTAGTAATTCCCTTTCCAGAGGGATTTTCTAATTTTATTAAGAAAGTTAAGAAAACAGCAATATTGCTTTTCCTAAGGAAAAAGGAATTTACCAGCAGCAGACAAACTCATTACATTTCTGCTCAAAAAGCTGCTTGTCTTGGAAATCTTTTTCTAATTGGGACTTCATCATGATCAAAAAAACAGTGTCCTGTGACAGACCAACAAAATGTTTCTGAGATTTTTTCATGATCTTATACATTTTGGCAACGGACAATGAACATTTTTGGCAAGTGGAAATATTTGTTTTTATCACGGAACGATTTTATTTCTTTTTTTTTTTAAATATGAGGAAGCTATCTTTATGCCTTGGTACCTACAAGCATTTTCTTTACTGTATTGAAAAGTCTCTCTGGATTTAAGTATGGTTTAGATTAAAAACTTGCCCCAAGAACACTTTGCTTTTTAATACAAATGCTGTATTTTTGTCTTGTAAAGTTATTCATTACAAAATCTATTAGCAGATGGCACGTTATAAATAACTGCATTTCCCTACTTTTATTTGTGGACTATAAAACTATTATGGGATGTTATGTTAATGTCTTTTGGGAAACTATTAACAACTACAAATTCTACCTATGCAGTTTGTTGTTTAGCTTTGTTTCTATTTGCATAAAGCCAGTCCTCTGGCCTGCAAAACCTGTTAGGAAGGGAAAGAAAAAAACAACCCAAAACTCAATTCTACCATACTTACTATCAATAATTTTGTTGACACCATTCAGGAATTCCATAGACTCAAAATAAAATCACAGTCCTTTTTCTCCTTTCAGAATATAGCCTCTTAATCCAAATAATATCAGAGAAGTTAAAATTTAGTCCATTCATCTGGCAAATGTTTCCCTCTGTTTCATAAACATGCATTTCACAGAGAAAAATTGTTCAATTTAAGGTTTCTTACATGATTAAAGTGTAAAAAATCATCATAGAAATATGGTTATTCTCAGACTTAATAATGTCCTTATTGTAATGTATTACATTTCCATAAAACAAAGATTTGGCAAAACCAATTGTGTTATAAGCAGCCAGAAAATACAGTTAATTGTCTAGGAGGACTATAAAATAGAAATTCTTGTACTACGGACTATTATGTTCCAACAGCCTCACCACAAGTTGGAGGTAAAATGTCAAGAAAACTAGAAGGAGGACATGGGGGAAAATATGTGACAGCTTATCAGAAACACTGGTTCAAAAATTCTGTGGCTACCGTCAATAAAATAGCCCGTCTAGAATAATACAGTACTACAGGTACCATTTCCTCTATGTATGTTTACAACCTGTAGAATACTTCCTTTTTTAATATTCTAGTTAAAAGTTATATCCTATAGGAAGGACAAAAAATACACACTAGAGTATATGATGACTTTTTACACAACGATAATTAATCATCACATTTCATTAATAAATTGTCAAGCGCTTGCAAGCTTGTCCACAATCTTTTTCATCTAGTTTGCATATTTTATAATGGTGGAATAACATTTTAAAAAGTTTGAATAGGCACTTACTGGAATTACAGTTAATCCTGATACAGTCTAGATGGGGAAGAATAGATGAAAAATGAAAATTTATCCTTCAAGGTAATAGCTGCAGACATCCAATAAAATCACAGTCCACCCTTCCGGGGACAGACACATGCAAATATGGCCACTCCATATCATCAGTCTTTACATACTGTTATAACCCAGATATACTGCGATAAATCTTTATAAATAGAAACGACAAATAGGGTAAAAATGGCCAATTTCAAACAAAGCTACATGGTGACAAATCTAAGTGAAAAATCAGGATTAAATGTCAAAGATGCTTAACTGAGGCAGGCTGCAACTTTCTCCCCATCTGTGAAAGAACAGGTAATTTCTCTCAATGCAATTAGAAAGTGCTCCGTCACAATGGGTCATAGAGCAAGCCAGGCCACAGTCAGACATCTTGGACAACTTATGTATAGTATACCTCAAAGGCTGATCTTCAATAACTAAGTAGTAAAATACAAAGCTCATTCCCCAGGCCTATAAAATCGGGTTTTGTGGCTTTACATTTTCTTAATGTGTAGACTTAAGAAACGAACAGTGACTACCTTTAAAGCTATATTACTATACAGAAAATAATCACATACCTATAAACACTGATAATTAGAGAACCCTGTCTATTTTCAGACTATTTCCTTGCCTGATGTAAAAAAAAAAAACAAACAAACAACAAACCAAAGGAGGGGTGTTGGAGGAAGAAACAATATTGCTAGGGCATGGATTGATGGAGTGGATTTATTTGCTTTCTTGAACTACAGTAGGTAAAAACTGACAGAGGGTGATGTTTTGTATATAAAGAGAATGACCTGACCTCTGGCAGGATCCTCTGCTGGGCCACCTGCATTTATTACTGTGGGGAAAAAAAAAATAAAAAAAAAATCTACTCTACTTGGTTTGTACAGCTACTCCTGCTTATACCTTTGAGGAACATATATACCGTCAAACCTAGATTTTGTTTCCATATAGCTGAGTTTGTCATGTGTCGTCAACCGCATCAGAAAAGTGGTTGCAAATAGCCAAGGACCAGCACCCCGCGGCCTGCAGGAGCCCCGGCTCGACGCTAGAGGGGACTGCGAGAGAAGAGTAAACGAGGAAACCCTTCGCTTCTCCTTCTCCCTTCCGAAATCTAAACGGCAGGACAGTGTTGCAGCGAGCAACACCTTTATGAAGTGGAGGGTTAGGTGATTATTTTCTTCCCTCCCTCCCCCCCCCCCCCCATGCTTTCTGGAAATCATTTTATCTGCGATTAAAACAATAAAATACTTGATTCCCTTTAAAAATAGCATTCCACTGAATGGGAAAGACTGCACTGAATGTGCATTTTCCTGAGTGTACTTCTGTTCTCTCTCAGGTCCTGACTTGGACTTGTTCATAAGCGCGGCAGAAGTGCTTTTATTTATTTACCTTTTTTTTTAAACTAGAGAAAACCATAACCTAACATTTTGTCCATCATATTTCAAACCAGGAAACCAATTTTTTTTTCTGTAAAAGGGCTTGTGCCTCCTGTGTTCACACGGCTGTTTGCTGAGGGCCGCAGTCTTTGGGCATTGAAGGGTTGTGTTATCGTTCGATACTACAAAAATACCACTACAGAATTGTTTAAAAAAGAGGAGATGGATTTACTATAGATTTGACACCTAAAAAAAGGAGACCAGGAAATCCATCAGTGGGAATATCTAATTGCAACATTTTCAGTGTTAAAACTATAAATTCTTTGATACATTTGCATGCTGTACATTAATTAGTGGAGGTAAAACTGAACTGACCTACATACGTGTTGTTTCTGCTTGCACATCTAAATTGTGGAACTGCTACCGTGAAGAAGTTGTGGAAGGAGACCAATCTTCCACAACAAAGAATAATAATTTAGCCCAAAAACACCACTGATGAACTAGTCTTCTCTTTTTAGAATACACAATAGTACAAAAATATTGTGATGGGTTATGTTAAGACTATATAAAGAATACAAAAATGCAAAAGAAAAGAAAATAAACAATAATAATGGCCATGTATTTGTGTGTGTATGTACATACGCAAATGTTGCATTGACGTGTTTATATATCATTTCAGTTTACTTTTAATGTTAAAACAGGCTGTTTCATAAATGTTTGCAAGCAAAAAGAAAAATGTAAAGAAAATGTTAATTTCTTGGAGGAAGAGTTTGTTACCTAGGTTGACCGTTAGTTTAACTCGTCCTGCATCCAACTCTAAACGAAGGGTATCTGCAGATTCCCTAGAAGTAGTTGCCATTAAAATGCCATAAGCTCGCTGAGACCTGAATCGTAAAGAAACATCTTCAGCCTCTGTATGCATCACAACAGGGAGCTGTATTTTCATAAACATACTTCCATCATAGCTTAGAATTGTTGCCTCTGAAAACATAAAGGAGAAAATCAGTTATTACAGAATTATGTTGTATTTACTGAAATTGCTCAGAGAAGATTGTAAGTGTATATTCACTCAGTATGACACAGAAAAATTACATATTACATATCACAATTATTACTGGGAAACATAAGCAAAGTTGGTTTTGGTGTTTTTTTGTTGGTTTTGTTTTGGTTTGGGTTTTTTAAGTGGCATATTTTGGTGCTTTTTAAAGAAACTAAATTGCTCTTTAAATGAACCAGCCATTCATGTGTGCATCTCCAAGCAGATGGGTAAAATCACATGTAAGGAAATGCTTGCAAGACTAGGCCTGTACTACTCAAAATAGGTCAGAGCCAGTAAAGGCTATTCAGGTAAACCTTACAGCCTATTAAAAGGTCATGTCTGACTATCACCCACCTAGGTAATTACCTTAGGATACTTCACATATAAACCTATCAGAATTGCTACTATCACAGTTACAATTATCATTCAGTTAGCAAAATGCCTCCTGAAACAGGTAAATATCCGCAGCATTGTTTGGACAGAGAGCAGACTGCTTCATGGCCACAATGACTGCGGTATGATAGAATCGAAAACTCGCGTACAAACATTACAACAGCCTCAACAAGAGGATCAAGACCGGACTTGGCATATTGAAGGCCAGATCTTAAAACCCCTGAGATCAGCAAATAAGTGTCACTTTCAGACATTACAGGAAACCCTCCCGGCAAGCGGCTCTGGCACAGAATGGTCACAGTCTGTTAAACCCCAGAGCAACCAGCCACAAGCCTTTTCCCAGCCTTCAGGCTGGTAACAAGAAAGGTAGCAGAAAGATTGCATTTCTGCTCACAGGGAGGCACAGCAGTTCCTAGAAAGCAAAGGACACATCTGTTTCTGAAACGTATTAGGAAGTCCTTTTTTGCAGGACGATCAAGCATTGCGGCCAGTTAACCACCACAGCCTTTGGAAACACCTCTTAGGCTCATGAGCAGTGGCACATCGTGGTGGAAGCAGCAGTGAGCAAGCAACATCCTTTACCCCAAGCCAATTGTCAGTGGGCAGACCACGAGGTATTTCAGTAGTCTCCACAGTAACATACAAAACTAACCATACTACATAACTAGAACAACTACCTGAACGGCAATATACTATCTGAAGCAAAATATACTATCTGAATGTGCCCCGTTTTATGCACATCTGATTGTTTACCTACCGCTAATTCACCAGAGACCTTCCAACTTCTTCCATGTGTCTCCTACATTCTTTAACCCACCCAAAAACTCTCAATCTTAGAAATTGTTGAAGTGTTGGATGATGAGGTCTAAACAGGATGCTACAGAATCTTTCTTAGAAAAAGATGCAAACCTGACGGCACCTCAACTCACTGAAAAAAATATCAGTTACTTGCCCAATAACAGGCCAAATGAGCAACAAACAGAAAGAGAAGACAGCAGAGAACACCTAAGGGAAGCTTCTCTACGCTTCAATTTGCCGCAGTATAACAGAGACACTTATCTACAGCAAAGGCGTATTGTGGTCCCACATGCAACAATATTTTCAAGGACTGATATTACTGATACTATGTTTAATCAGTATTGTAACTAAAGCAGTGTTCGAGTATTTTTTTAAACATCAATACTTATGACAGTTTGTCAAAACCTTTTCCATTGCATATCATGTGTACTGTTAAAGACAGATAAGCTTTTCAAGACTTCCAGCCTACATGGTCCATGGAAGGACAAAATGTTCCACTAACTCTGTGAGTATATTGGAGGCAAAAATGATAGATGGTATGTTCATTAATAATTGCAGACTTCCCCAATACAAATTTGAAGAAAACAGTTTGATGTTGGAAAAACGTGGTTACTAATACTGGTGTGAAAGTCATTAGACGTAACAGGTATGATGATTTCTAACCATGCAGGTAATAATGTTTTCTGCATATTCTAAACCTAAAATTTTTCTGTGAAGCAGATTAAATACTTAACTCTCACCAGCCTGATAAGAGATTTCAAGTCAAAGAGTTTTCAGTGGGAAGTGATTTGTTTTTTTGTTTGGTTTTGGTTTTTTTTTTTTTTTTTTGGGGGGGGGGGGCGAAGGGCAGCCGACAGGCAAGCAGGGGCTTACAATTCATTCCTATATCTAGCTGTCTAGCCTGTGCATGAAAAGCTCCCAAGATCTTTATCAAGATAAACACAATTTAGGTAATTAAAGAACTCCGACATAAAAGTTTAAGTTACATGCTAGTTTAAGAGAAAACAAAAAGTATTTTATATTGTCTATTAAAGAAGACACATTAATACTATTCAGGGTTTTCATAAACTGAGCAAAATCAGATGTTATAGGCTGAACAGCATTCAACAACAGTAGGGGTCTGTTTCTAATAAATTACGTTAAGATAATGCAAAAGAAAGTTGTCAGAATCATCACTGGTACTGTTTGCCGGCTTTCCTATAATTATTCAGTCTTTTAGAAAATCACAGAAAAAGGAGAGAAGGAACTGTCTTAATTTAATCAGACATGACCTGTGAGTATTTAACATCATGGCGAACAGACCTGATGTGATTAGATACTCAATCCTCCTAAACCATACTGTGCCAGTTATTTCAGAAACAGATGTTCCAAGAACAGACCAAGGAGACTGAACAGAAGATCAAATGACTTAAAAGCTCTGGGGCAATGAGAAAACCCCTTCAAGCCGACTAGCTCCTTTCAGTATGGGGAGCTCCAAGTCACAGGCTTTCTAAATACAAAGGTATCACAGAAAAGCCCCAGAAAACTGGCAGGAAGCAGGGATGATTTGATCAAAGAAGATTTAGCACTGCCCTAAGAGCCATAACTGAAGATTGGAGACACTACATACTCCTAAAATAAAAAAATACAACTATGTTCAGTTTACTCACTTGAAATGAATCTGCTGGTAGAACTGTTGTTAGGAAAAACTTTTGTTGTTAAATCATTATTAAATGATTGCTACATTAAGAAGGTTGAATGATACTTCGTCAATATTGTGTGCCTCTCTAAGGGTGGCAAGCTGGGTTTTGCCATGTGAATCATCTGTCAACTCAGCGTCTCTTCCACTTGACTCAGCATTACTCTCAGCTCTGCAGATTTCCATGTTCTGTTGGTCTTGGCTGGACAGAAGGCGTCTAGTAGTACATGTATGAGACCTTTGATAGCACAAGGAGTTCCATCTTCCCTTACTGGTGTCTTTCTTGTAATTCTTTGGGGCGACACCTTATTACCCTATCATTATGCTTGATGGCATACATTAACAGAGAACTTTGTTTTTCAGACACTAGGAAAAAACAGTTTTCAAGATGAAATAAGAAGGGCTTGTTTTGTTTTGACTTTCTTAGAGCTAGAGATTGTTTCAGTTGTTTAATGGAATTGTTTCCCTCCCGCAGTTACTTCAGTTGTCCAGAACGGATTGTTAATTTGCAAGGCCTGGTCAGTCAGATGGTGATCTGAACGAGGAGAGGCAGTGGAGGTTACACCAGTTATGCAAACCTCGAAGGAACATTTTGGCTAAAAGTATGTATTAATTTTTGCCCCTAACTTTTACTTTTTTTGTTTTGGACCAACTAATCCTGAAGGGGTATGTGTCTCATCTTTTCTTGAGATCTACACTGCTGACTGTTCTCACATAAGTGTTGGCAGGATGCCTTTTTTCTCTTGTTCAGCTTCCTCTTAATTATTAGATTAAATGCTAATAGACCATAAGTTTAGCTTAGAATGTGCTATTCATTAAAAGAATCAGAGTCTCCATGGCAGGGAATAATAATTTTACTACCACTTCAGTGCTGGAAGCATAGCATTGAAAAGAAAAATAGCAGAAAACCCTTATAAAACATTACTGACAATTTTTTGTGGCAGCAAATAAGTGCATGAAGTAGAGTTATTAACAAGAAATAAACAGTAAGATATAATTCAGAGATTGATAAAAATTATTTTATACATTCTTTCTTTGATATTTTTATAAACCTGACAAGCAAAAACCCTTGCTGCTTCTGTGATAAAAAACAACAAATCAAACCACCCAAATGAACCAAAAAACAACAACAAAAAAGAATACTGAAGAGTTCAGTTCCCCTCTCCATTTTTTTCTTCAATTTGTTTCTGATTAAAAATCTCCAGGGCTGGATACTCTTCCTTCCTATATATAAATACACACTACCTCAATCAGCTCTGTGCCAATCACCAAGGATGCACAGACTAGTACTGATACAAGAGGAGATTCAGGACCTTAATTTTCACTTGGGCTGGGATTACCTAAATTGCTGAAGAGACTGAGGCATATACTCTTCCAGAAACTTTCCTGCACCTGTTTCTACCCTGTCCTGGTTTCGGCAGGGATAGAGTTAGTTTCCTTCCTAGTAGCTGGTACAGTGCTATGTTTTGGATTTAGGGTGAGAACAATGTTGATAACACACCGATGTTTTAGTTGTTGCTAGGTAG